GCCTTCCTGAAGTCTAAGTATACGACATCCACCCCTACTTCTGTGTCCAGGCGTTTTGTAACCTGGCTGTGCAATGATGTCGGCCAGTGCCTTCATCACCCTCGGATGGAGCTCATCCGGGCCTGCCGACTTAAAGGCATCCAGTTCTTCCAAATGACTCTGCACCATCTCAGGGTCTACGCATGGTAGTCTGGCGCCTTGCTGCTGCCTCTCTACAACCCCAGTGAGAGACTTGTCGTGCCCCTCACTTAGGAACACAGAGGCAAAGAACTCGTTGAGGAGTTCAGCCTTGTCCCCCCTGTCCATCACCAGTTGTTTCTGCCCATTTAGCAGGGGTCCTATTCCTCCCTGGGCCTTCCTTTTACTCCCAATATATCTAAAAAAACAATTTCTTGTTGTCTTTTACTTGGGTTGCCATCCTCAGCTCCATGGCAGCTTTGGCCCGTCTAACTGCCTCCCTACAAGCACGAGCAGAGGAGGTATATTCATCTTTGGTGATCTCTCCCTGTTTCCACTTTTTATGTGCTCCCCTTTTGTCCCTTAGGCTGCCCTGGATTTCTCTGGTCAGCCAGGGAAGCCTCCTGGCTCCTTTCCCCCTTTTGCCTCGCTCGGGGATCGTCTTGCTTTGTGCCCGAAGGATCATTTCCTTAAGGCACAGCCACCCTTCTTGGGCTCCCATCACTTCAAAACTCCTACTCTGCAGTGCGTCCTTGACTAATCGCCTGAGTTCATTGATGAGTAAGAGCTAGAGAATAAGGCCTCTTATATAAAGTATTTGCTCTTTTTATCAGCAGTTGTAAACACAGGCTATATAGAATTTGCAAGAAATTCAATATTTGTTTATAACACCATCGGCAGTACCACGATATCAACTAATCAGTATCTTTTGAATTTAAGCTCCATTTGGCTTATTATTGATCAAAGCTCCATTATCAACTTATTATTGATCAAATCAGTGTTCTGTTTTTATGTATTTAAAGTAGTGGGAGTTGGGGATCAGTGTCATTTTCTTTCTAAAGTGTCAAATGCATTTTCAGCCAGGTCACCTCCTGCTCTTATATTCACTTCTTCCATCCTAAGCAAGAGAGAGATAAGGGTTATTTATCTTCATGACTTTGAAATGAAGCCAGGCAGCTGAAATTAGTAAAATAGATGCTAAGCAATAACGCTTGGTATTTTAGAAAGCAGTGTGAGGGTTTTATTTTACAGCATGCAATGCTTTGGTGTTTTTTTCCTCATGCAGTTCCTACCATTTTATAAAGTCTTCAGTTCTAGACACATTACTTCTGAAGACATGGACATACTTACCATTCTGCATGTGTTTCTAGTTCAGGGGAGAGCAGTTATTTCAGGTGGAGGGCTGCTTAATGAGGTTTGGTGAGCTGTCGAGGGCCTCATGGGTAGCCCCACCCCTTGACATTTGCCCTGCCTCCTGGTTGCCATATTGTGACCAGACGTCCCACACCTAACTCCTGACCTTTGCCACCAGAAGGGATGGGGGGCAGTTGCCATCTTAGAACCAGAAAAAAACAAATCGTACGCTAAAAGTCAAACACCTAGTATCACATATTTTAATTTTATTACAAAATATTTTTTTCATGATTTGTGTTTGCGTGCTGGATATAGAGGGGATTGCATAATAACTCAAATTCTTAGTCATTTACATTGTGTAGGGAGTGTGTGTGTGTGTGTGTGTGTGGTGGGGGTGGGGTTGGGAGCATGTGTGGGTATGGGGGTGTGGGTATGTGGCGCTGGAACACGCTGCTCTTTTGCAGTCAACACGGGGGGAGGGGGGCATTTATGGGGTGTGAGGAAGGGGAGATGGGGTGTGGGGACCCCCCCACACATACACGCTTCCCACCCAATAGCACAGCAGCAGGTGGGGGTGCTGCTGCCTGGCTCTGGCCAGTGCTGCACATTGCAGCGAGGAGCACAGTCCCTGCTGGGCAATTTCTCTCACTGGCAGGGGAGGGAAGCCCCAGGCGCTGGAGCTGGCTGCCTTCCCCACCCCAGCTGGCTCCAGTTCCTGGGGCTTCCCTCCAGTGCCACACAAGTTGGGGTAGTGGCAGTGATACAGATGGCTTGGTGGGGGCTGCGCTCCTCACCGTGATGTGCAGTGCTGGCTGAAGCCAGGCACCAGTGCCGAGCACGAGTGCATGAGTGCCCTGCTGGGGCTGCAAGCCATAGGAGAAGCTGACAGGGGGATGTTCCACATATCCCCCCACCCTCCCACACACCCAAACCTTGCCCAGCCAAACTACGCGCTGCCCCCACACCCCTAGGCGCAGGCTCCACACTGCTGCCAGCACCAGCCTCACACGCCATGCTCCCACCCAGCTGCAGCCCTGCCTCCACACACACCCCGCTTCCCTACCTGCTGCTCACAAGCCAATATCTTCCGCCCATGAGGGTGGGAGCAAGGCTTAATAGGGTATGTTGGGGGTGGGTGTAGACACCTTGCTGCCACCCTAGTAGGCAGAAGGGTTGGGCGGGACACAATTTGTTGGCAGGTGCCGCAGGCTGGATGAAAGTTCCCAGTGGGCTGGATGTGGCTCGCGGGCCATATTTTGCCTGTCCCGGGTTTAGTCATACTTGCAGTTGATGGGTGCAAGATTTTCCATCCAGAAATTAAACACTTCTTTCTTTGGGAGACTAAAAGTAATTGTTACCAAACTACTGATGGTTTTTTTCTTTTTATTTGTAACTTTCATCTTTCTGCCCTACCAGTTACTCTGAAGCATTCATGTGGTTTACTGGTATAAGTGAAGGTCTTCTTATGTAGATTTTATATGTGAGGGTACAGAGCCATGGTTGGTCTTTGGACAACCACATCAGGATAGCAATAAGGATGTTAGAATGCATCTTTTCCGGTGTTGCCAAGTCATTAGTTCAGTTGTGTTTCCACTCTGAGGCTTAATGAAATGTTCATGATGCAAATCTAGGGAGAGATGCATCTCACTCGCTGTGGGATCTCTTCTCCTGTCGATGTGCCCCATGTAACTCCCATTAATGTTAATGGAAGTTACACCAGGCACATAATGGGAAGAAGAGATCTGAAAGTGAGAAGTGTTTGTGTGAGAAATCCCAACTCACTTTGTTTAACTCTGAGGAGCTGAAAGTCTTTATTTAGCATATTAAAAGAAAAAACAATTGGAAAGACTAGAAAATTGTCACAAACCAAATCGTTTCTTGTGGCCTTCATATAATTTTTTAAAAGAAAAAAGTGATGGGCATAATGGTCATGGCTGTACCTAAGAATATTAATCAGGTATTAATTTATTAATGTCATAATTATTGTAATGATTTTTTAAATTTTATCTGTTATACTGTAGTGGGGTTTTTTGCTACATTGGAGCCAGTGGATAGTAAACTACCAGACTATCTTGGTCAAAACTTGGACCCTGTAAATTTTTCAGGCTGATTCAGGCTCTCCTAGTCTAAACATCTACATTAAAAAAATATGCTAAGGTTTTGGGGTTTTTTAATGCAGTACTATTTTAGTATGATCACAGCAAATTTTTTGGGCTGCTAGTCAGAGTGCCCTCTAGTGCTATATTAACCAATCAATACTAGTTTATGCAAAGGATAAAAATGAATGTCAAGCACAGCAGTTTTAATTTATGCCAGAGTTGTGCATATTCTGAATTGTGCCAGTAATGACATCTGAAGATGCTACCCCACAGACTAAAGAAAGTATGTAGAAGGCAGTTCTGATTGTCATAGGAAACACTGCAACTGATCTAAAAATGGTTTTTTAACTATAGGATAACATGAGTAGAACAATGCTTTACATTCTCAAAGAGTGTGGCAATTTCTCCTGTTTGCTTGATATTTTAGGGCGTTTTTTCCCCTCGTAATAATCTTAGCCAATCGTGGTTAAATAGTAAACTATAAATAATGGTGTAGAGTGTTAATGACATGCAAATATGACTGGTGTATGTTGGAATAACCAGCAAGCCTGCTGTTCAAGGATCATATAACAAAACTAAGATGACAGCCTCGATCCAGCCAGTTCAGTGATATTTATGTTACCAGAATTAGAAAATAGTTTTCTAGTGATGTAAATTATTAGTATATATACATTCTGTCTGGTTAGTGTATACATAATGTTACTAGTCATATTATTGGTATTGCTTACATTCTTTTTGTGTTAACTCATCAAACTCCAGTTTCGTGGAATTAAAAACGGGAAATAGTTTGTGGTGTAACAGAAGCATCCAGTGTGTTTAGCTGTGTGTATAAGTTCTGTGTTTCAGGAGATGCACTCTGTATTGTAAGCGTATGACAAAGCATTTATTACTCTGTTATTGCGGTATTACAGAGCAAAGAGTGCTAAATAATCAATCAGTTAATGGTCTGTATGGCAGTTTGAACACAGCACATCTATTGTGCTTATGCTGCTAGAAGGATGGACTTATGCCTATAGTGTATGTTGCATGTTTAGCCAGAGCGTAATGTTCTAAACTGGAGCTGACACAAATATTTTAGAAATGCAGCTTCAGCAAACAGTTCGAAAGTTCTCCAATATTTCAGCAGTAACAACCAAAAGATAAGAAAGATTCTCAGAAAAGTGATTTAGCTTTTTTGGAAAGGGGGGAGGAAAGTATATCAGGAAATGCTTACATTGGCCCCTTCTCACAGGATTTAGTAATTATACTCTAACATTTTTGTCCTTTTCATGTTACAATACAGGCAGGGCTTGCTGGAAATATATTAGTAGGGGAAAACTAGATGCTGTAAGTTGTAGTTGCTAAACGCTTTGAAAACCTGTAGCTACATGCTTTAGATGACACAGCCACTGCCTATGAATGATTCACATGTTTAACTTGCTTTCTACTTGCTTGTCTTTGGTGTGTGGTAGGTATTTCTAGGATGAAAATTGAGAAATGTGTTCTAGCACATCTTTGTTTGTTGTCTGAAGACTTAATTGCTACTTTGATGATAAAAGATTACATATTCTTGGAAGATTTAATGTATGCCTTTTTTCCCCCCCCCCCCAGAGGATAAAAATACCGATTATGCTAATTTCTACCAAGGTTTGTGGGACTGCACAGGAGATGTACCTGATGAGTTGTCATTTAAACGTGGTGACATTATCTACATTCTCAGCAAGGTATAGTATGCTACTGAGAATAAATTGGTGTAAAAAAAAGTATGTCATGGTAAAAGCATGCATTCTTACAATACTACGGGGGGAAATTGGCACTCCCTTTAGACCCCTTGTTTAGGTGTCAGGTAGTCACAGTAATTCATTATTTTGTCAAGTGGAACATAATTGTATTTAAACATAACAGAAATCAACTTAAAATGTTTATCCTTTTAAGTGTTGGCTAAAATCAAATGTTTACTGCATGTGAAAGTTAACCTTGTAGGATGCTATATTATGTTATGCTTTTTATTTCTTTTTCGTTTGTGTTCCTGTGTGTGCTGATTTTGATTTTCTGGGCATCTTGCAACTAGAAATGCTCTTCTTTTTGAATTAGGGTTTTATCTGTTCTGATAACTTGGGTTCTGTGTATGCTGCTGACAGATTTAGGCAATTGTTAATGCACCATTTTCTCCTATGTGTAAAGGAAATCATAAATTGCAAGTCTTTTGTTTCCACATAATGTCATGGATTAAGCCAGTATCCTTGTTTTTAATTTAATATAAATTAACCTAAGGAAGATTTTTGCCTCTTTGAGTGTGCTTATGCCAAGCTCAGTGAGGTTTACATATGACTGCACTAGAGGGGAAAATATTCTCCTAACCCCACAGATAAAAAAACAAACAAACAAAAAAACGTAAGTTTTCACAGTAGACAAATAAGGTTAAAATATTTGGTACGTTCTTTCATATTTAGTTGTCATTTAGTATCATGCATATTTGAAGTCATGGTAGCCCATTTAAAGTGTTTCAGCACTTCCATGCTGAAATTATAAGTAACATCATGAAGGTTGCAGTCCTCTGTTTCTGTTAGTTTAAAACTTTTCAGTTTCATCAAAATTGCTTTAAATCTTCCTTGATATGTTTAACTGCTGTGTTTTTGGATAATGAATGTATGGCTTCTGTTTAAATAAATTCAAGATTTATGGCTAGGAGGGCAGTCGTATATAAAAATATAGAAGATATATTGCTAATGATAATGCGACCATGTACTACTTTTGAGGTATCTCATTGTCACTTAAACTAATAACTATAGAATTGCATTTCTACAGGTAAAATAGGTCTTTTTGATTGAGCAGACTTTCATTCAGTTGTATAGTACTGAAGAGTAGCATACTTAAACATGTAAACTACAGGCACCAACAGTTTCACCTTATGCATCAACATCCTTGTCCATTGTACTATTTTCTAATGCTATAACGGGCTTATGAAATCTTAATTGTTAATCATAGGTGGGGAGTTTTTTTGGCTGGTTCCCTGAAACCGGTTAAGTATGCCATTCATTATAAAGTGGGGCAGAGGTGGAGAAACATGCTATCCATTTCAACTATCTCATGGTCATGCCTTGATTAATACATATTCAGTCCTTGAGACTGGTCTGCTAGTTTCTCTAAATATATAGATGCTCTCTGTTTTAGGAATGATTTCTACTTCAAAATGGAGCTCACAAAATACAGGCCTATTTTACTTAAGGACTGTTGCAGCTTTTTCAGAAAAATGAGCAGGTCACTACTGTCAGGTCTGAATTTAGGGTCCTTGGAGGTGAAGTGCCAGGTTATTATCCATCTTACCCTTCCACTTTATTCAGTTTCAAGGGCTAAGCGAATTATCCATCTTAACCTTCCACTTTATTCAGTTTCAAGGGCTAAGCATTAACAACACCTTCTTCATCTGTTAGTAAGAATATAACCAGGGTAAAAAATAATATAAACAATTTTAAATTTTGAGAAGACTTTGCTTCAGCAAATATTTTTGAATTTACTAGATGAACATTTAGACTTTTTGGCAGTGGCATGAATCTTTGGCAATTTTTTAATTTTTTCACACCATCTAGTGGTTGAAAATGAGAGATGCAGCTACTGACAGTAGGTGATGTGTGCAGACCCAAAATGGTGTCATAAATTCAACTTCAGCTTGATCCTAGCTATGGCTTATTACTTTCCTATCATATGTCAGCCATGTATTTAACATTAATCATGTAGAAATCATGTTTTCCTGATAAAGTATTAAATTCAAGTATTGTAGTAGGAACAGTGGAATATTAGCAAAATGATAGTATTTGTGCAGTTGTAAAATATTTTATAGTGAATCATAAATATGTTGGCCTGTTATAATAACTATTACCATGTATGAGTTAACTTCTGCTAATAAGTTTTGCATGTTCTCCAAACAACTGTAATTTTCTCATACTTTCCACAGATCCTTAGAGAAGTATGAAAAAGGAAATGTTTTCACTTTGTAATGAGATAATTACTATGACAGGAACAGTTTTGAAAACTGCAGCACTTTTACATTATGAATAGATAAAGACAACAAATACAGTGCAATTAAGGCAATTCCAGTTTGTGTGCATCTGAAGCAAATAGTAGGGGGGGTTTCAGTGAAACAAGATTTATTAACTTAAGTATTTATTAAAGCCATTATAAACATTACAGAATGCAAAAATATGTGTGACTTTAATCATGAGTAGTCTCTGAGTTAATTCAGAAAAATGTGTAGTGAGAGAGACAAAATTTGACCCGCTATGATTTTGATCTTGCAAATGCTTAGCTGTGTATTAACAATACATTTTTTTTTAATCTTTCTTTCATCTATTAAAAACCTTTAAATTTGGCCAAGTGAGATACCAATTTAGTTGCTTATAGATTAATCCATCCTAGTTTTCTGTCAGTGTTCTTTCTTAAAATTCTGTTGAACATTTTGGTGAGTTTTTTATATTCTGCTCTATACAGCTTTCAGAAATTTGTACCTTTTGCCTCCCTCCACCTCCAAAGAACCATCTATAACCATAGTGGCACCAGACTTTGACATTATTTTTTCACTGAAAACTGACTTATACAGTTATGGATTGCTGAACAGCTGGATCTGTCAAAATTTGGTGTGCTGTGGATATACAGTTTACAAGAGTGCAGCAATTGCATTTATTTTCAGTGAAAAAGTTTTGTGCTGGAAAGCTTCATTCCATAAGCCAGATGCAAAGGATCATGAAACTGCTGAGTGAATTAGCAGGCCATTACATCCTTCTTGTTGTCTGTTGCCATATATCAGTTTTCTGGATTCATGCACAATCTTTATCTTTTTAACATGTTTCATACCAACCAGATGTCTACATTTATGTTTTTAAAAACACCAAAAAACATTTCCTAGGAAGACGGAGGAGTCATCCCTCCCCTCATTGTAACTGAAATTTTACTTGTTCCCTGTTAATTTAATACATGGTAAAGCAGCTTGATGCCACTCAAGTAGGTATTTATTGTCCATGAAAATTTCATCTCCCACATAACCCATTGCTTTGACAACACTTAAACTTTGCTGGATGTAGAGTGCATACTAGGTCAATATTCATATCACTACACACTATTTTCAACATTTACAAGTGTATAGCAACTGTGCTGTCAAGAAAACAGACTTTTAAAACACATCATCTTTATTTTTGTTTAATGAAAATATGAAGGCGTAATAGTTTTATAAACTCAGATTACTTTCTATGAACATATAATAGAGCATAAAAGTGCAGCTGTTTCCTGAAAAGTGCAAGTATTATGATTCAAATATTGTTTTTGACAGTTGCAAGAAAGGCAGCCTGCATATTGTACTATAATCTGCAGTGCTTTTTGTTAGACTATTTAATTGATCATATGGAAAGCTGTATTTATCAATAATTCAGTTCCCAATGATGAGCTTGTAGTGTAAACTAGTCTTTTATTCATTAGTTTAGGTATATTTCTTGCACAAGCCTACCATATCATTTTTAAAAAAAATCAGGATTAGGGTGAAAACCTTCAAGCATGGCATTATCCAGATTCATTCAGAAGTGACTCTAGTTCTGTAAATTTAACAAAATAAGTTCTTATTAACAAAATGTAAGCATATACCTATCTAAGAAATATTTTTTGCCATGGTGGCATGAGATGGAAAATAAAACAGATCTTTATTCATTCCATGAAGTTTTCAGAATATCAGTTTTCAGGTTAGAACCAAGTCTGTTTTACCCCTTATTTGTACTGTAACTTTTAATTGATTTATATTTTGGTACATGTCATAATGGCGTATATATAACCTAACAGTGTTACCATACAATACATTTTTGAGGTTTATGTTCCTAAGGAAGACTATTTTACTGCTGTCTTAAAACAACTCTTCCACCTGTGAAGAAGTCTAATTCAGTTATCTAAAGCATTTGTCATATTCTACTTTTTAGAGAAAATGTTGTTCTCTGCCAAAAATGCTCCCTAGATGACTATGCATCATTCAGGAGTTACAGCAAAGGAAGCTCTAAATTTTTTCAGCAAGTTTGAATCTCCCGGACAAATTAAAGTGGTTTAAAATATTATTGCCAAAATTGGCCCATAGGACCTTTTAAAAAAATGTTCTGCCTGTGCCGCCTCTATCCTGATAGCAGAGGCTACTCACTTTAACCACACTAGGTATTGGTACATTCAACTTCTCAATTGATAAAGTTTTCATATTTACAATTGAGAAGCAGTGTTATTGGTAACATAAAAATTCTTAATCCATTTGCATTTTGTATTTATTTTTAAATGGATCACTGATTTCCTCAAGTCATTAATATCATTTTCTGACATCATTTTAAAAGAGAGAAAGCACCATATAGATTGAACAATAAGGGGTCAGAAGTGCCAAATGTTCTCAACTCTTATTAAAGTCAGGAGGGGTTGAGAGGGTACTAAACATTTAGAAATGCATAGCTCCTCACAGGGTCTGGTCCTTACAGATAGGAAGAGAGAACCTCATGTCAAACCTGTTGCATTTTCAGTTTCTCTTTTCTATGGCAACGTTCCATCCACTATAAAATAATAGGATTAAAAATGTGTTTCCAGAATGCTCTTCAACAAACTTTAAAAATCTTTTGGGCCCAGATCTTTTAAAGTCTTAAGCACATGCTTAACTTCAAACCATTAAGTTGGTCAGGGAGGAATGGGATAAAGTATCTGCTCACAGCAATTAAGAGCAGACTTAAAGTCTTCTCAGGATCAGGATTTGTATTTTGTTACTACCTTATTTTATATGTAGAGAATTAATGTGTAAGAAAAAACAATGTCAAATTAGCAGCTCAGAAATACAACCATCATCTATTATTTTTAAGAAAGGATGCAATCATTTTACTTTGCTTAGTAAACTTCTGCATTTAAAAACAACACAAAACACCTCCCTCTATCTGAATGAATAATGAAAATATAACAGTATTTTTAAAAGCATTTAGCTTTCATATAGTTATTCTCTGTTTGTATTATTATTGTTTGGCAAGGATGTTTCCTGTTCCTTATATCTATAGATATAGATATAATACACATGCATACCACTACTCCTCTGTTTCCCCTGAAGCAATTCATTTTGCAGTTATTGAATTTTTTAGGAATGTTATTTTCATACTGTAAGCATCACAGCACCACTGGATCTTGATAGCATTTCTACATAAGGAGAAAGAAGCTTTGTGTTAGTAATTACCTAACATTGTCAGGAGCTGACTGCAGGCCTCTTTCTAGTGATAACAGAATAACCACATAATGTAGCTTTATAGCACATGATTAATAGAAAATAATTACACATCCTACAAAGGGATGCAATATTTCTTATAAATTGACTAGAATGGTTTCCTGTAGATTAAAGGACTCTTCATTATTTTATCAGTCCTTCTGAAGTGTAGCCACTTGCCTATGTTAGCTCTGATGTTAAGAGCTGAATGCAGTGAGGGATACCAGATGGTAAGCCTACTGGTACCCGAGATCCTGGGTACTGCTTGCTGAACATCAGACATTGTAATTCTGAAGCAGATAGATATATTTATCCATCAGAATTGGAGTCCACTGCTTCTGCATTTTTATATATTATTTCCCTCAAATGTGGATTTTAGACTTTATTTTATTCTACATGTCTTGTACTGCAGTAATAGACATACGGACCTCAAGACAACATTGAATCAATTGCATTATATTGTCACTGTAAGTAATTTATCATTGATAACAGTGGTAGAAACAATACATCAATTTGGATGTTGTGTGTGCGTCTGCAAAGAAGGTGGGGGAGGGGGAGGAGTTAGGATGTTTGGAGAAAGACGTGTGTATGTTAACCAGTTAGAAAGGGACTGCTACATAATTATAACTCCAAAACTTGAAGTTAAAACATAATGTTCTTGGTAACCAAGAATCTGTTACGTTTTCATTCCAACTTCCTTAGCTTGCAAATGGTTTAATGGATTCATGTTGCTCCTGAGGCTCATACAAAGAGTAGTAATGATAAAGTAAAAGCTTTTGTGTTGCATTCTTGTCCATATAATCTAATGGCTGCAGTGAATCCATAAATTAGCTTACTAGACTGTTCCATCACCATCCATTTCATCTTATCATTTACTTTCACACAATGGTATTAAATGATGTATTACTAAATAGCAAGAAATGAAAAGTTTTCAAAAAGCAACATGTTTTTAATTTAATTACAGGCATCTGAATAGTTTTTTTTTTAAAGCATGAATGTTGTTTTGAAGTTCATGCGGTGCCATTAAGCAAAAGATTTCCAAGTGGTAATTTAGTCCATAGTCCTTTCCAGTGCCATTTGTCATATGTAGCTTATTGCTCACTTAACTAAGCCACTTCCCTGCTCTTACACATTGAGTTTTTTGTTTGGTTTGTTTTCTTGTTTGTTTGGAAGGTGGAGAGAGAGGTGGGGGGCAGGAGTGGAAGGTGTTGGTGATGGCTAGCAAAACTTTAATTAGTCTCTTGCCAGTTACTCTATAGGTTCCAGATAGCAACTTAAAATATTTACTTTTTTTTTTTTTAAATGTACTGCAATTCCTATAGCATAAGTGAGGGCTGGCATCTTGAACAAGTACCACTTTTTATTCTAGAGATATAATTCATATATGTAAGCATAATATTGTGGGATACATATATATTTTGTGTTTACACATGCACACTCGCGCGCACACACACGTGTGCATTTATTTAATATATAAAATTTTAAACGAGATTAAATAAATTATTTGAGCCTCTGCTGTGAGACCTGTTACCTAGCTTGTAAGGGTTATCACTGCAATGTGAAGGCATCCCATAAGAGCTCATGGAAACCCTCTTAAACAGCAGCAAGGGGCAGTTCTTACTGACAGCCTAGTTCAAATGGTTCTGGACTTTTAGGTACAGGCATTATACTTTTACTGGTGTAAGTGATTGGAAACTGGTCTATACCCATAACAGAAGAGCAGTTCAGCACACAAAACCAGCCTGTATCCCTAGCAGAACGTAAGTGTGGCACACACAAACTGGTTTAAAAATGGTGGAACCCATTTTTAAGATATGCCACCCCACCAAAGGTTGAATGTGTGTTCTGTTAGCTACCTATCTAAACTATGCTGCTTGTAGAAAACTGCGTAACTTGGATCAATTCTGCTTCTGCCTTTTGGAACATCTGTACCTAACCTTGTAGAAGTACTCCCCAGAATTCCTTGCTGCAGTAGAGAAAAGTAGATGAATTCCTTTCCTACCTTTTTCCAGCCATGTATTTTGCATTTGTTCAGGAGCTTTCCTAATGTGTGTGTTGTATTTAGGGATTTTTTTTAAAAATCCCTACATTATGTATTTTTAATATTTTTTATATTCTGGGGTAGGACTTTGAAATGGTCAATGCTCTGTTTGCCTCCAAGAGGAGAAGGAGGGGCTTTTAAAATTTTTTAAATAGTAACTGTTCAAACAGAACATAAAAATAAAAGAGAACAATAAGAATGTGTTTTTTTAGGAAGCCTGAGAGTGAAGTATAAATACGCAAACTGTATCTCTATATTTATAAAGGTCCTTTCACATTCCCCACAGGGAGAATGGAGGGTACTAAGCACCTTATAGGACTCTAGGGACCTCTAGAACAGCCTGTGTATATTAGCAGAAAGTCAGGATAGTTTGGGTTCCAATTGAAATCTATTAACCCTTAAACATCTGTCTGCTTCTTGACTGCTGTATCACAAATAGGTTTGGCTAAAGGCAAAATTGCAGCTGATAGCATCAGCTCAGAAGAACCATCAATTAAAAAATCCTGCAGCCTTGCTTTTCTCATCTCAGAAGAGCAGTGCGTCAGTAGGGAGATGTTGTTTATCATATGTATCTGTGTATTTTATATTTTCCATGTTTGTTCCATAGTAATTTTTATCTTACTAATCATTCCATTTTCAATGGAGTTTTGGTTTTAATAATGCTTCATATCTAACTCAATACATATGTGTGTGCAATTTCAGCAGTTACAATTTATTGAACTACTATTAGGATTGATCTTAAAATATTTACATCATAGGAAAAAATTAAATTTGGATCCCACAGTACTCTTGCTTGGTATTGCTTTTGGAAGATATTATTTCTTTAAACTATTATAATTCATTTTGTTTCATATTTATCTCACTAAGCCTAAGCAAATTTCAAACAAAAATACATTAGTCATCTGTCAGACATGTGAGAGCTGTTGTCAAAATTTTTGCAACCCCGAAGTCAGTGATATACTTAGTCCATAAAAAGAGGATGTGCATTAAATGTATAGCATTCCCTTCACATTTAAGCCAAAGATTATTTTTTAAATAACTTGGATGTAATTTCTCAGAGGTCAGCCTTATCATAAGATTTTATATAGGTAAAAAAAGACATAGAAAGATGAGATCAAGTATATTTTTACCTGTCATACAGAAACATTGACAGCAGTTTGGGGTGGGGGAAGGAAACTGTTTTTTCTTTTCTTTCCTTTTCCTAAACAGTATGCATGTCTTTTAAAAATATAATTTATATCTTTGCCTAACTGCATTTTGAATGCCTAAAACAAAAAGATCTAATGTTTTAATTTTGAATTCAGGCTCTTATAACTGTATATAGGAGGAAACATCCATAAGGAGTTGCATACAAACTCTATTGCATTTATATCAGACTAAAGGTTAATATTGCATATTGTTTTCAATTAGGAGTACAATAGATTTGGCTGGTGGGTAGGAGAAATGAAGGGAACCATTGGCTTGGTGCCTAAAGCCTACATAATGGAGATGTATGATATTTGAGAGGCCCGGGTAAGTACATTTTAATCCAATCTTCTGTAATGGCTTATATGTTCCCCTATTCTCTGTTTCATGAGCATTTCTTTCCTGGAACCCTTGCAGAAGTCCTGTTAACATGAAGATTGTAGCAAAATATATTTAAGGCTCAATTAAAGCAGCTCTGTTGGGTTTGTGTATGAAATAGAAACAAACAACTGTGTTTGGAATAAGATGTATTCCATTACTACTTTCTTCTCCCTACCCTCTTTCAGTAGAAGCAAGTCTACAGGCTTTCTAGTTAGCTTTCTAGTTAGCTTTTGTTGCTGAATAATGTCAATGTGTACAATTAGACATATATGGAAAAGAAATATTTGAGCTCAATTGTTTTTTTTTATGGGTATGTTGGGATTGCTTGGTTGTTTGTTTAAACTAACCATGTATTACAAACTTACTTTTCTCAGTCAAAAGAAATCTGAAATTTAAGTCCAGCGTGGTGTGCAGATACAATTTCCAGATCTGGTCTCCAAAATGGGAAGATTCTAAGACTGTAAACCTGCAGTTGCCATGACTGTAGTTAGAACATCATCTCAAATATATGAAGTAAAACATTTGAAAAACACACTTCTGAGTTTGTTATGCAAGTCATCAATATTTTGTCAACATTTTTGGAAAAGAAGTTTTGTACAATTATTTGTTTCATAACTGTAGCACGGTGAAACTAAATAGATAGCAGTTAATGTATGAGGCACAAGCAGTAAAACTGTACCTGTCGCTGTTTTCCTTATGCAATATTTGTACTTGTCCTATCCATCTGTTCTATACTAGTGTGGAACAGGATAATTTTTCCCCTATTAAAGTTTTGAAAATACAGCAGGGTCTTGAAATTAGCAAATTATTCACTTCAGGTAGATTTTTAATAGCTGATAGTTTCATTTCAATTGCTAGAAGTGATTTCATAGAAAGCTAAATAATTTCTGTGCAGCAATATAATGTGCTTCTGAAAAACAAAATATTTTATATTTCTAAATGTGATTTATTCTTCATAGGATTTTATTATTTTATATATAGTAAGATTTTATAATCACTGAATAACGGGGTTAGAGTAAATCATCAGAGTCTCTTTAAAATTAGGGGAACTATAGTGACTTGCACCTTATTATCCTTATTTGGACGTATATTGTGTGAAAAAATACATGGAACTGAAAATGGCTATTTTGGGTGTTGGATGCATAAAAAATAGCATTTGTGCATGAATTTCCTGTCAGCAAAGCACTCCTTACCTGTTTTTCTGTTGTTGAAGCACAGATGATTTCACTGATCCAATCTTCCTGGCTTGCCTACTTCTAACCCAAGTTATGCCATGGAAGTTTGTGAGACTATACATGTGAGTAAGGGATACCTTCAGCGTCAGCAGTAGCATAAGCAGGATATGGTTATTCATTATATCACAGCAAAGTACAGTTAAAAAAAAAATTAAGCATCTCCCGTACACAGAATCAGAGCAATTTCAATTGTAGTAATACTTAAAAAACCCTTTGTTCCATTTGTTTGTTGTATAGCTGCATGTATAATATCCCCAGTTATTTTGAATTCCCCAGAACACTTAGAAACAACCAGGACTGGTCTGATGATTTGTGAGACCCTCAAGCTGCCAAAAAGACAGGTCAAGCCAGCCTGTGAATTGCTGAGTCTGTGCAGGTCCCCTAGTACTTGCTTATGCTGTTTATGCTTCAGGCAGGCCCTGGAACCAGTGTGGGGGTAAAAGGTAGCTTTAATTTAAACGTTAAATTGTTTTATTTCAGGCAACTAAAGCTGAGTTTTACTTTAAATAATTTATTTTACTTTTTGTTATAAAAGACTGCTAGTAAGAGTGAACCAGGGTGTGTGTGGTTATTTTACAAACTATTTTTTAAAGAACTGGTCATTGAAATCACATGTGTATGTAATCTGTGAAGCATTAAAATGGAAGATTATAACCTTCTTCAGAGTTTTACTACTTTAATTTATCAAGTGTACTTGTAGATTGTATACAGTGTACACTGTTAATATCATGGCTAGAAAAACTTTCTTTTTTTAACAAACCAGCGTAATAAATCCACATGCTGAAAGATCTTTATATTAATTTAATAATTTAGAAATCCCCTGCAACTTTTTTGATTACTGTCTTTTGTGTCAAAGACTTGTACACATGAATGACCCATAAAACTGAATTTATAAACATCTAAGTTATAGTAAATTTACTCTTAAAAAAAATTAGTAATTGTTTTGGACACCAATATTATATGTTAAAATTAAACCCATAACAGATTTTTGCGGCCAGGTTAAACCTTGGGAAACTGTTTCGTGCTGACAAACTAAACTATGACAGTGCTAGTGGGCATTGCTCTCCTGTTTTCATTTGGTATATAAAAGGAGAAGAATTTGTACTATAGTGGTTTGTCAGTAGATGGCAGCAGATTTTCGTAGCATGTTGCACTACTTGGAAACCCTTCCCCCACCAATTGATCTCATGCACAGGCACTCGCATTTACAAGTTAAAATCACTGGAGGCCTCCTTCGCCTTATCCCGTTAATCCAGGAGAGGGAGTCCTTACCCAACTGATGAATAACAAGCTCTTTGAGCTATTTTTCCTGTTGATGGTGACAAAAATAGAAATAAAGTATCTTTTGTCTGTAGTTCTATAACATTTATTTTCTGTCTGTTTGTACAGCGTGAAAGGTTATCAAACAGAAAACACGCACATTGAAAAACTTTTTTTCAAGAAGAGGAGACTTCCAGCACCATCCCAAATTTTTTTGAAATAAGCCAGCGAAGCAAAATCAATATGATGTTTACTTTAAATCGTTGCAAATACCATAACCTTTTTTGAATGAGAAAATTCTTATTAATACAATTTAAACAAAATTGGATGTTGGAAAATAGGCTAATTGCTTTATTTTCATTGTTTACTTAGATTTCATTTGCCTTTCTTTGAACTGTAAGACGGCTAATTTTTTTCTAAAGGTGATTGTAAGTCATATTTTATGCAGCATTTTACTTGATTATTTGCTCTGTACTGAATTTGTGCTATACTGCCATTAGATCTTACAATAATGTTCCACTCTGCAAATTTTTAAGGTTCAAATAAAGTTTAATTGTTTGCAAACTGTTATGATGCTAATAATTCAACAGCCTGCTGTGTTACTAATGAAATTACTTTGTTATGATTAATTTGGAAAATAGTGTGTTGATTGTAGTAATTAAGCACAACAAGGTGAAGTAAATGATTCTAATGCCATCTGGCCTCCAAACTGAATGAAGAAATGAAATGGGGCTGTCATTTGAATTTATTCAGTGAAGTAAGGGTAATACAAATGACTTTTATTGCTACAGCACCCGGACATAACCATGCCACTCCGTAGCATGATTTCATGTACTTCTGTGTATATAATTCTTTTTTCTCTGCATTAGTTGCTCCAGGCTCACAGATTTTACTTGCATCTAGGTGAGATTTACCTCCTTGTGGATATTTCCACTAATTAGATATACCATAGTGTATGCTCATCAGATGCCAGTTTCTTAGATGTCCATATTTAAGGGTGATATTTCTAGAAGTGTTCACTGTTGACCTCACTTTGCTTTTCTCAGAGCCAATGGTAAAAACTGCTTTTGATTTTAAGGGGTAAGAATTAGGCCAAACCTGAGCACTTTGGAAAAGTCTTCCCTTGTGTTCAAAACCAGATATGTACTTTTTGTTCAGTTTTGCTCCGCATCCTCCACATAACACACCTTTATGAGTGGTATGAAGCATAACACCGTGACACTTTTTCTGAAGTATATGGTAGTCAATGGAAAGACTGTTGAATTCAAAAGCTTTTGCATCATACCCATCAATTTGAAAGAAGAAAAGCTATTATTTCAAACTGCCTCCTGCTGGATTTTTGCTAATGATGTTTCTGCCCGAGGGAGGCGCTATTTTGTCCATAGCCTCTGGTTGTCCTCTGAATAAAGAATTTGAGACAGAACTTTACAGCCAAAAGGTAAAAACTATTTTTTTTTTTTACATGGGAAAAGATGTAGATATGAACCAGAATCCTAATTTTTATGAAGTTAACTGGGTATTATCACAGCACTAGGGAGGTATTTAACAATAAGAGAAAGTACCCAAATGGACTGTAGTAGAACACCACTAAGTTAGACAGGCCACTAGGTGGGTGTGCAGAAGTGCTCCGTGCTCGTTTTACAGCACTGTAATTTAGACCACTTTTTGTAGTACTATAAAGTTATAGCACATTTAAACATGAGAGAAGTGCAGTTTTTGGCGGGGAGAGGGGGCCTCTGAGCCTCCCTGCATTTTCCAGGCAAGGGGCCCTCTGCAGCCTCCTGCGGCTGCAGGAGACTGCAGATAGCCGCAGACTGCTGGAGAAGGCAGAGCTGGGCAGTGAGCAGAGGAACAGCAGGGGCACAGAGAGGGAAAGGGGGGCTAGGGTGGAAGAGGTGCCATTCCAGCCCTGAATCCCCCCAGGTAATGCCCAGACATGCTGTTCCAGGTTCCCAGTCATGGCTGCTCTGGGGCACCATGGTCTGTGGATGTTTGAGTCCCCTCCTCCCTCCCCGCCACACACACCATGCCCCCATGCTTCCCTGGCTTATCTAGGACCACAAAGGCCCTTCCCAACCACACCTTGCTGGGAGGGAGCAGGTCCTCAGCAGGGCAGGATGGCATGGGGCTAATGCCAACACTTCCTCTGGCCTGGGCTGTACAGAGCCAACCCCCATCCCTACAGCACTACCCAGCACAGACCCTACCCAAGATGCAAGCTCTGCCAGGCAGCCACCAGCCTTCTGGGGTGTCTGGAGCTCCACAGGGGCCTGGGGGACCCCAGCACAAAGCCAGCCCCTCTAGCTGCAGAGCTCACAAAGCCTATGGGATACTAGCAGAATCATCAGAAATTATACCAGCATACAGAAGTTATTTTAAAAGTTTTATAAAGCTGTGCACTACTGTTAAGTGGAGAAAAAAGCAATTGGTACATGCCATAGAAGCCCCACACACTTTTTTTCCTCCAATTTGTAGGGGGCCTGCAAAATCTTGAGCTGTAAAAAATCAAGCAGAGATGAGCAAAAACTGCCTGGTATGGAAGGGACATAAAAAAGGGTTATAAAATAGGGTATTGATAGATTTTCCCCCTCTTCCCATTATGTAATAGAACATCAATCAAGGTAAAGAAAATGTTCAAAATACTGTAAAGTTATGTTAGAATAGAAGATACAAGAAAGTCTCCTAAAAATATATGTTTAAATATAACATGCAATGATATGTATTGGGATATTTAGATAAAATTGAAACGCATCCTGAAGACATTGCCCTGTCATACTTGTAAAGGCATTGTTCCTCAAAGACCTCTTCATTCAGACAAGTATTTGTGCATGTGCTTGCGTCCATTCCTACTTAAATGCACACCCAAAACACCTTAAGTTGGGGTTGGAGCTAAGAATACCTGGTCTTTAGTAGAGCTCTTCTACCCCTCTGCATCCCAGAAAGTAGTCTCATAGTGCAGTGGTTAGATCATCAGGCCACAGAGTAAGGGGCCACACATTATTGTACTTTTCTGGGAGTGATTTAGTCAAACTCCTTTCTATTGGATTTTGAGGAGAATGATCTGCCCCAGGCCTGTTCTCTGGCATTTTGGTGGAAGGATGTGGGTCATGCCTCAGTGCCTTCAATCCAGGCACCAGTGTAGGGCAGGGAAGAGAAGGGTGAAGCAGCTCTGTAGATCCTGCTTTCCCCTGCTCCCAGGAATTGGTAAATTGGTACAGGGAAGTAAGGAATGATCTAATATGCTGCTTCTATCTCTTCTACTCCTTTGTGCTGCAGTACAGAATGGGTACCAGTCTACCCCTGAATCATTGCATAAATTGATAAAAGGACACTATACAGAGATAATGTTGAAACAGGATCTAGTTGGTTTAAACAATTCTGTTTTTGCAGTTGGGAATCTTCAGAGTCGAGCCACTAGGAGGGAAGTCCACAGAGAATTACAGGACACTGTGTAATGTTCCTTGCCTGAGAGAGATGCCACTGCGAGCCCAATTTAAAACCAGAGATGTCTTCTTCTCTTATTCAAAAGCCAGCTCTTTCCTACCCCTTTGGGAACAGCAATCTTGCAGTAACGGAAAAATTAAAAATCAGGTGTCATCTGCCTCTGGTAGCTATGGGTAGAGAGATCCAAGTACAACAATACAGACTGTCCAAAAACAGGAGCTAAATGTAGATTAAGAAGCAGATAGTTTCAAGTGACACTAAAACCTAATCTCTCCCCCCTTCATTTTCTACTTTTAAATAGTATGTCAGATCTTTCATCCCTATGTGTCCAGCAATGTAGTGGAAGCCTCCCTTTCCCTCCTAAGCACTAAAAAACAGACTTTAGTGGTGTGTGATAGGTGATTAAACAATTTAGAGTAATACTTTTAAAGTTTACACTGAGGGATGAAAAGAACTTCCACACACAGTTGTAATGCAAGTGAGGATTTATGTAGCTAGGAAAGAAATTATTACTTGCATCAGATCCAGTACATGTAAATGTTTCCATTCTTGTAAAAAACAAAACAAAACAAACAAACCAAAAAACAAACAAAAAAAAAGTGCCATGGGCATCTTACTGGCCACAAATGACTGGAATTCTAGTTTCACATCTCAGTCTTCGGCCCCTGGCACAAATTCATTTAAAGGCACAATGGGAGCTGAACCTAGATTCCAGTAATGGTGCCTCTTGCCATGCAGGGGGAGCCTGGGATCATTATCCTGCGGTCCCTCTCCATCGGCAAGCTGAAAGGTGACCATAGATCCAGGGCCAATAGCTAGTTGTTGCTTTCTGTGCTGGAACTACACTAAGGTTTGCATTTGGCCCCATTGCAGTCCCAGGGCTGGAGCTGACAATCAGCTAATTGTCAGCCCAGGGCTAGACCTTCTAGAAGTTTATTTTAAGGTACTGTACAAACCAACCATAAAAATGTTCTACGTTATATGTGGAACATTTTTATGGCTTGCCATTTTATGGTGTCATCTTAGATTGGATGCATGTGTAGCACTCTTGCCATTTATGCTGTGATTAATACATTCATCACAACATAATTGTAACTTAGAGGGGGCCTATAAAACAGCATTCCTAGCACTTCAGTATCTACCCACATGCAGGACTGTTTGGGCCAGGAAAGAGCATTATGCAGAATCACCAACAGTCTTTCAGTTTTCCAGTAGCAGCAAGGTATTCTTCAAGTTTCCCATCCAGGAGCTGACATGGCCCAACACGTCTTAGTAGTAAGATCTGATGCAGTCATATTGAGTAAGGTAGAGAACAAACATCTTGTCTAGTGCAGGTTACTGAGTTGCTCGCTGGTACATTTGCAGTTTCATGTGTATTCTGAAGTAAGTGGGAAAAGATGGTTGCTACACACTGAAGTGTGTGGTGTAAGGAGGGAAGGGGTACCTCCTCTTCCTTTTATTACATCCCAAGAGGATTATAGTGTCTTGTGCATAGAGAAGACCAATGTCTAAATTTGAGGTGAGAAGTAGGGAGCTCGATGCCATCTGTGTGTAATCAGGTTTTTGATCCTGCTCATTTCTTAGAAGTGTATGAACACAATATTCCAACTGTTTTTGATAGATACGGATTTTGGTTTATCTTTTATCATAAGTTTCCAGTTACTGAAAAGATCCATTCCAGTCCCTACAGTACAGATCTCTTATGTGTCTAATATGAGGCTATCCCTTTGATGTATAATTATTCATCCTCTTCTGAACATTTCTCAGGCATTTTGTGGCATTGGCTTTACTTCATCCATGGCATGCAAATATTCAGTACAAAACATTAGAAGCTCTCTTTCCCCTCTATTTTAAAGACAATTTCATCATTAATTTTATTTTTTTAAGATGCCAGAAAATGCTCAATGGAAACCAGAAATATCTGTTTATTCACATTTCCACAAACCTACAACTCCTCCCTCCATACACATAGGCACCCACAGAACCAATATGTACCTATTCAGGCTAGAAGGAGACTACCTTTACGGACAAGAAAATAAGTTTCTGTTCATTCTGTTGTGGTTCTGAGAATAGCCTTTGGATGATGGCTTTTTGATATGGACACCTCTATGCTCACTGGA